CCTAGAGAAGGACAGAAAACGATCAGAGGGAGGGCGGGAGAAAGGGAGAGGAAGGAAGCAGGTAGGGCCAGAGAACATTGAGAAACTCCAAAAAAAAAAAAAAAAAAAAAAAAAAAAAGAGAAACTCCCCCTTCTCAACACTGGAGAGAGGGTGACATTCGAACAGTCCCCATACTCTACTGACTTTCTGTCTCCTGCTCTCTGCCCCGTGAGGAACACAGGCCTCACCCCCTCCACCCTCTCAGTGTTTGGGGTAAGCCATACCAGCCAGGTGAGGCATCCCCTTGAGAGTGTGATTGGCACTTCCCTGAGGACTGGGGACACTGAGCACCTTTTCCTGGATTCACTGCCATTTGCATTCCTCTTCTATGTCAGTGGGCAAGGGGAGGTCCCCAAATGCTGATGGGACCCTGACCCCAGTCGGTGTTGGGCTCTTGACACCGCCTGAGGAAATGAATTCAAGGGCCAGTAGGAAAATAGAGAAAGAAGGGAGATTTATTGTAAAAGGAAAAGTACACACTCGAGTAAAGGGAGTGCAGGGGAACTCGAGAGAGAGGCAGGTGGACCGGGGTTTGGGGCTGCCGTCTTTCTGGGTTTCTCCAACCAAGGGGTGAAATATTCATGAAAACTCCTGGAAGGAGAGGATTTCTCAGAACTGTAGTGCCATCCATTTATACACCAAATATCGGTATTCTCCGAAGTGCTGGGGAGCTGGCTGGTGTGTTTACTATGTTCATCAGCATGTAATAAGGTCCTAGGTGAAACCTACATCAAATCCAGGGACATGTTGGGTCTGCTCTTTCTTAGCCAGCTTGGTTCCCACGCTGTTTGTCAGCATCTTATAAGCCCCCCAGCCTCTGCAGGTATTTCAACAGGCTTCTTTTGCTCGTCACCTGAAACTGCTACCTAAAATTTTCTATTCTTTTCTGAACACGGTGTAGTGTACCTGTCTCACTTTGGAGAAATGTCTATTCAAATTCCTTGCATATATATAAGTGGGGTTATTTCACTTTATAATATAGAGTGGGATATTTCACTTTACGATATTGATCTGCAAGAGTTCCTTATACATTCAGGATACCAGTCCCTTACCAGATACATGCCTTTTAAATATTTTCTCTCATTCTGTAAGTTTTTTTAACCTAAAGGGAGGGGTTTTTTTGAAGCACTAAAGGTTTCCACTTGCATGAAATGAAATTAAACTACCTTTTATTTTGACATTTGTGCTATTGGCATACAGTATTTAAGAAGCCTTTGCGAAATCCTGGGTCAAAAATATTTTCTGCTCTATTATCTTCTGAGACTTTCATAGTCTCATGTGTTAGGTGGACATCTGCCCTTCATCTAGAGCTAGTTTCTGTGTGTGCTGGAAGGAAGGGTCTGCCTCATTCTTCTGCATGTGGCATCCAGTGGTCCCAGCACCATTCACTGTAGTGTAGGACTCACCTGCTCCACCTCCTGTCCCTCCCTCCTGCACTTCGTGTCAGAATTGTGTCCTGCTGAGCGGTTCTCCCAGGGTCTCCACCAATGAAATCCATCCTGTGAATCCCATGGAGGCACCTGCTCCACAGAGGACTTGGACTAAGGAGTGGATTCATCGGAGGAAATGATATTTCATAAGATGTAACATTCTGGGAATACTGACACTCAGCAAACCCCTTACTACCTCAAAATAAGAAATGGCATGATTTCCCATTTGGGTCCCACAAGTCTTCTTAGCTTATTTAATTTTTTTGTGTTGTTTCTTACGTTATTGTTGTTTATTGTTGTTTTCTTTGAGACAGGCTCTCATTCTGTCCCCAGGCTGGACTGCAGTGGTGCCACCTCAACTTCTTGCAACCTCAAACTCCCAGGCTCAAGAGATCTTCCCATCTTTGCTTCCTGAGGAGCTGGGACTACAGGCATATACTACTACACTTGGTCAATTTAAAAAATTTTCTGTAGAGACAGGGTCTCACCATGTTGCCACAGCTGATGTCCAGCTCCCAGCCTTGAGCAATTTTCTGGCATTGGCCTCCTGAAGTTCTGGGATTACAGGACTGAGCCACAACTCCTGGTCCAAAGCTTACTGCTTTTTAGTTTTTACTTTTCACTTGGTTGTGTGACAGTTTGTAGATATTTAAATTCTGTACAAGTAAATTGAGCAGTGCTATACAATAAAATGTGTTCTTCGGCCACAGCTTTCTCACACAGAAGTGGCATTAAAATGTTGTGCATTTGTCAAATCTTGAAGAAATTTCAAATATTTAGGGTGATTCTGAGCTCTGGTTTTGGTTGACACAATAATCCATAAAAGCAAGTAAAGCGCCCCCTCTGATCCAGAGGGATAAGGAGGTGAGAGCATTGCTAACCCAAAGTGACAGCCTCTTCTGTAGAGATGATCCTACCCAAATTTCTCATGCTCCACAAAAGAAGGTTGTGGGCTCCTGGCTTCTCCAGAGCTCCATGCAGTCCCTGAAGCACTCTCTGACTGTCTCTGCAAGTGGCTGAGCAGCTCCTCCTGATCTCTGTGGGGCTGTGGAGGCTCCAGGTCCCTTAAGCCCAGGGGTTGTCATACTCACCAAGTCCCACCAAGGATGCACCCCACCGTGGGTGGTGGAGGAGAGCAGGTGTAGCTGCTCCTGCCCCTACCCCTATCTTGACAGGCCAATCTTAACGGAGGAAGGAGTAGGGATGGGTGGAGCCATGGAGGTTGGTGCTGGAAAGAACAGAAATGAAGCCATTTGTCCAATCCCCCAAATGATTGGGATGCCTTTCTGAGTTCTAGCAGCCCTGGGGTAGTCTGATGATTGGATTCTTCTCATGTGTCTTAAACCCTATCCTATGGCAGCCACTGTGGTAGGTGCCACGTTCACATGTGGGTGACGGACGGGAACTTAGAATTCAGGGACAGAAATGAACACTGTATGCCAATGGAGCAAATGGCAAAATTAAAGGCAGTTTAATTTCATTTCATGCAAATGTAAAACATTTATGTTTCAAAAAGGACTCCACTTAGAAGGTTAAGAAAACGTTTTAAATAGAGAAAATATTTGAAAATCATATATCTGGTAAGGTACTGGTATCCTGAATATATAAAGAATGCTTACAACTCAATATTATGAAGCAAAATGACCCAATTTGAATATATGTAAGAATTTGAATAAATATTTCTTCAAAGGGAGATACGTATAATAAAGGGTGGTCGTAAGAGAAGAGAAACTTTTAGGCAGCAGTTTCAGAGACTAGCCAAAGGAATCTGTTGAAATATCTGCAAGGGCTCCGGGCTGTAAGACCCTAAACGGCAGGGTGTGAACCAAGCTGGCTAAGAATGAATGAGTGGACCCAACATGGCCCTGGATTTGATGTAGGTTTCACCTCAGACCTCATTACATGCTGATGGGCATAGTAAACACACCAGCCAGCTCCCCAGCACTTCGGAGAATACCTATGTTTGGTGTAAAAATGGGTGGCATCGCAGTTCTGAGAAATCCTCTCCTTTTTCCAGGAATTTTCATGAATATCTCACCCCTTGGTTAAAGAAACCCAGAAAGGTGGCAGCCCCAAAGCCCTGTGCACCCGCCTCTCTCTGGAGCTCCCCTGCGCTCCTGTTACTTGAGTGTGCACTTTTCCATAAATCTCCTTCCATTCTCTATTTTCCTACTGGTCCTTGAATTCATTTCCAGGCGGTGTCAAGAGCCCAACAGCAGATGGGGTTGCAGACCCACTGGCGTTTTGGGACCTCTTGCCAGCTGGCATCAGAAGAGCAATGCAAATGGCAGTGAGTCCAGGAGAAGGTGCTCAGTGTCCACAGCCCTCAGGGAAGTGCCAGTCACACCCACAAGGGACGCCTCACCCCGCGGGTTTGTCTGACCCCAAACACATAGAGAGTGAAGGGGGAGGGGGCTGCATTCTTTACGGGGCAGAGAGCAGGAGACAGAGTCGGTGGAGTGTGGGGGCTGTCCTAGTGTCACCCTCTCCCCATTTTGGGGGCTGGGGTTTCTCCCTGTTCTCTGGCCCTACCTGCTTCCTTCCTCTCCCTTTCTCCCGCCCTCGCTCCGATCCTTTTGTTCCACCCATCCCAAGTTTTTTTCTGCCTCACGAAGTTCATGTTCCAGCACAGCAGAGAAACCAGGGGCCCTGGACCGTGAGTGTTGGGGTCGGGGGCGGGGGGAGACACCGGGAAGCCTCTGTAGGACGCTGGACAGTCAGGACCTAGTGCATCCCGGGCACCCTCCTGCAGTAGCCCCAGGGCAAGGAGGATGGGGGTCCTCTGGGGGCCACACTGCCAGAGTCCCTCGGATCCGAGCTGGACACTGACGTCTCCACATTGAGCCGGTGCCAACGTCCCCTCGAGGATGAAGGAGGAACCTCGTGCTTCTCACCCCACCAGGCCCCGCATTTCCTGGATCCTCCTGACCCGGGAACCGTCTGGCCCTTGCCGCGACCAAGGAGTCCTCTCAGGTCTTCCAAAGGCCATTTTTCCTGGAGTCTGTGGACCCGGAGGCCCGGAGGGCACCGGCCAGCAGCGGGGCACCCACTCGGGAATATTCACCGGGCAGGCCCAGGTTCCAGAGCTCTGGAGCAGAGGGCGCCCTGGGAGGAGGGCGCAGAACCCTGAGAGCATGCTGCAGGGTGGAAACTGAAACCCTTCAGGTTCGATCTTTACCCAAAAGTCATCTGTGGTTGAAATCAGCAGTCACCTGTAATATTCCCCCATGACAACACCATTGGGTAAATATCTAGAACCAGTGCCTCGTCACTGCAGCAGTCCCGCGGGTCCCTGCCCGGGTTCCTCATCCCTGGAACCACGTGGCCCACAATAGGTCAGGCGAGCCCACCCGGTGACAGTCTCTGGGGATCGGGGCCCCACTCTTCCTTACTTCTGTATCTCCACCTGTTCATCTGTTTCAGGATCAAAACTATGAAAAGTCATGTATGAAAGGCTCCCCTGCCCCTGCCTGGGTCCATTCTCATTGGCCACACGCCTGGAACAAAACTTTATTGGATTCTCATCCTTCCGGGGAGTCTTTATGCCATTTCAATACATATTCTTAACCAGACTTTGATACTTTTGACTCTTGATGGAGCCCCATCACCCTGTCCTTCAGGAAGCCTGTTCCAGTTTCTCCTCCCTTCACAGTGGACTCTCCTCAGATGCCAGGTAGGATGAAGCAGAGGAGGATGATGAAGAGGCTCCAGGAACTGAGGGTGGTGGCCATGGCTTTGGGTTGGGCAGTGCCTGGGGCCATGGTGGGTGGTGCTGAAATGGAAACACAAGAGTGACAACCCTTGTCCAGGCCCCTAATCTTAGGGGACCCCTCCTCAGCTCCTGCTGCCCCAGATCATCCTGCAAGGCAGAGATGGTGTCCCCTCTGCTGTTGGGCAGGCACTGTGACAGTTCCTGGGTTAGGAAGGGAGAGGGGCATCCCTGTCCTCAGGGAGCTCACACAGCTGCTGAGGGAAGCAAGGTGACAGCACAGCTGACCCTCCTGCAGTGGCGGAAAAGGAGGTGATGCCCCAGGATGGGGGAGGGGAGGGTGTTGGGGTTGGCATTGGAGGTGAATTTGATGGACTTCCAGATATAGACCAAGGTAGAGGAAAGAAAATGAAAAGTGCTCCTAGTAGGAGGGAACGCTCAGGAGAAAGGTGGAAACACAGTGATGGCCACAGATTAGAGGCTGGTGAGAAATCCACAGTGAGGGGGGCAGAAGCGAGGGCAGTGAGGAAGAGAAGTCAGGAGAGAGAAGGGAGAGGAGGATGGGAGAGCACAGGTGCCTCCAGGAGGAGCCCCCACGAGGGGGTCATCTTAACATAAATGTGTACACTGGGATCATTGAAGCTGAACTCAAGAACTAATTTCTTGAGATCCCCATTTCTGACCTAATTTGAGATCCCCATTTCGTTTCTTCTGTTACCTCCTGTGCTTGACTCCAGGGTTCTGTCCATGCCCATTAGGAAGTCCTCAAGCCATCTTGTACAGTCACCCATTGAGAAGTAATGGAAGGACATGGTCATATCCTTGTCATTCTCCCACTTTTCTTTCATCTTTCTGGCTCCAGGATGAACCGTTGTCCACATTCTGTTCTCTGAGTCAAAGAGGAGGAAGATCTGTCCATCGAAGCTGAACTGCCAAGATCCACTGCTGTGTCCTTCGGCTTTCTGCTCACAAGACATCCTGGCCTGCAGGGTGAGGGGTTCTGCCCCCACAGAGAGAGATCAGCTCTGGTCTTGACACATTTTGAGCCCCCATCCTGTTCCCCTTACAATTTCCAGGCCTTACTCTCTCTGCCACATCCTGGCCTTACATCTAGACCTCTTGTAGGGTGAGATGACCTTCCCATTTGCATTTTTCATGAAAACTATAAAAGCCTCTAACCTACCCCTGCATCTGCTCCCTCCTGTCCTGGACCATCCTAAACTTACCTCTGGGTGTGTAATTCTGCAACTGAATGCCAAGCAGTTGCTCGGTGAGCATGTCCACCAGCTCTCTCAGGACTGGGTTCTGTTCTTTCCAGGACTTTGTGACATTTATTTTCTTCCCCAGGAGACTGACTGGTGTGACTGTCTTGTTGCCACAGTCATAGTGAAGAAAAGTCTTTTGATCCAACTGGCCTTGAACCGCACACCACCGTGGTCCAGGTCTGAACTTAGGGGTGATGGTCACATCATAGCAAAGAGAGTGAGGGTCTGTGGAGAAAGACACGTGTGGGTCGGGTGGGCAGAAAAAGACCCCTTGGTAGCCCTCCTCAATACTGTGACATTAAGAGTACATCTCTGGAGGCCTGGGCTGGCCCAGCAATGTGTGCCCCCTCCAGAACTGTGGTGTCCACAAGTTTGAGAGTGCTCCCCCTTGCATGAGCACAAGGAGGAGGAGGAGGTCTCTGCCTGCTGAGAAAACACATGTCCCCAAACATGTCCCCCTGCCTCTCTGCCCACATCGTCAACACATGACCTTGCTAGAGAGGTGCCAGGCCTGCTAGAGGAGGAAGGGCCTGGCTGGCAGAGGATCTTCAGTAGCAGCCCACGTGGACTGAGGGATGTGGGAGGGAGTGGGGGCTGCCCCTGAGGATGCCGGTGCATGGTGGGATGGACTGAGGATGGAACCCACTTGGATAAAGCAGAGTTAACTGTTCTTGTCACAGGATTTAACATGTTGGCAAAGCTCCTGGAGATGGTGCCCTTCTGCTATGAGGATGCCTTCCTGAAACCTTAGACAAAGGGATGATCCACAAAGCAAGAAACAGAAAATCTGAAAATCTAAGGCAGGTAGTAGAGGGAGGGATCACAGGCTCAGAGAAGTGCCCACGCCAGAGGGGTCTGAGTGTGAAAATCCAGAACAATGTCCACCCGCTGTGCTCATGGGGAGCCTGGAGGACTCCTGTTTACCCAGCATATAAAGAAGGCCCCATGAGAAGGCACCAGAATGGGGGGAAGCTCAGGGATGCCTGTTGCTGAAGGACAGGGTTGGGGGTAGGAGATGTTGTTCCTGAAATGGGCTCCCAGGAGTAATGGGATAAGAAATCCTGAAATAACAGATTCCAGGTGGAGGCTGTCAACTGTCAGGAGCAAGGAGGGTGCCATGATGGAAATGATTAGAGAAGTCCCAATGCCAGGCTGGGGACCTCAGCCATACAAAGCTATACCCATGGCTCATAGAACTAAAGGGTCCAAGATCCAAGATACACCCAGATACTGCTGGGTGTAAATAACTAAAACAAAGATAAAACAAATGATGGATGACCAGGAGGCTGAAAGCAGCCAGTCCATCAAGAACGAGGTTCCTTTGCCCAGTTTTCAGAATTAAGCCACTTCTCAGACCCTGAACCCATTACTAGAAGACACCAGTTTCCAGTGAGGGAAGGACCCTTTAACCCTGCAGCAAGTGGAACAATTCTTTGTGACCTCCTCCAGAGGTATTTATGGCCAACTAGAGTTTGCTGTGAAGGCCGTAGGCACTTACCCCGGGCACCGCCCACCTGCACACCGGGCTGGCTGCCAGCGGAGGACATGAGCCTTACCATTACAGACTTCCTTCTATGACTGCCTCATGTAATCATCACAGCTCTACAAAGGGACACAACTAGATACAGAAACGGAGAACCCAAAGTCTGCAAAGACCACAGGGCATCCTTTCTCCCTTTCTAGAAAGGGTTTCGTGACCTCTGTCTGCACAGTGACTATTCTCTAAGACGCTGGCTCCCCAGTAGGAAGAACAGGCCAGTCTGGGCCCCAAAGGGGAAGTGGGCATCTCTACTCACCAGAGTTCCCAGGGTCATCCTGGAGGAAATGGCGCTTCTCATCCCCCTGCACAGGTTCTGTGGGGAGCTTGGGCTGTGTTTGCTGGGGTGTGTTCTCAGGCAGGAGGCAGAAGGTGCCACGTGGTGTAGGAGGTGGCGAGGGCCCCTTCATGGATGCGGAGACCTCTGGAGCGACCAGCTGGGCTTAGGTGGGGAGTGAGAGGATGTGACCTGGGTGGTGGCAGTGGATATTAGGGGAGGGGTGGGAAGTGTCTGCTGAGCCCCTGGGTGCAAGTGAGTGTCTGCAGGACAGCGCAGGGGAAAATTCAAGGACAGGGAGCCCTGGGGGTGCTGGAGGGTTTGTGTGGTGGAGAGCGGGTGAGAGCAGAGCAGGCCTGTGGCTGGTGGGGGTGTCTGTGATCCTGTCCCTGTGGAACTCCCTTCATCCCTGTCCCGACCCCAGCTCAGGTTCGGGGGCTCTGGTTTCTGCTTCCCGAGGGCGGGTGGCACTGCCAGACTGCACAAGGAATTTCCGCCCCACCTCGCCCTCTGCAGCTCTGTAGCCCCTCCAGCCTCCCAAGGTTCCTTTCCAGCCTCCTCTCTGCCCTGCTCCTGGAGGCGGGAAAAAAGCAGCAGTGGGGAGTGGACCGGGCAAGAAGGAGCCTCGGAACAGAACTGAGCTGGGGCGAAGTCCGGGAGATCGCGCCGGTCCTTCCAGAAGACTCACCTGCTCTGAAACTCGCTGCAGTCCACAGCCCCCAGCTTTGGTTCCCGCCCCGCTTAGGCTACATCCCAGAACTCACCGGCCGTCTCTGCCCAGGACGAGCCTGACAGCTGGAACAGGAGCAGAAGCGGGAGGCACTGCCGCAACGCGGAGCTGGCGGCCGCTGCCATTGGGGACCGGGAGCGCGGAAGACTAGTGACTTGATGGATGGGGAGCTGCGCAGATGAATCACCTCGGGGCTGAAAGCCGACTTATAAAGGCTTACACGCAGCGGCTTCAAAAGGGTGTGGACCGGAAGCGCAGGGGACTGGAGAGGCGAGACCCAGCGAACCTATTGCCCCGGCCATGCTGGCTGAAATGGATTGCCTGGGAGTGCAGTGTGAAACACAAGCAGGTCTAGAGCCTGTTCTTCCAGCCCCTCGGAGGAGACACTCCCTTAAACACTTTTGGCATTCAGGCGTCTACCCCTAGAGCGCAGCCAAGTCAACTCTACTTCTTTGCAGAAAGACATACCCCGGGCCCTGCCCCACTCGGCGCTCCATTCTGGCCGCGGCCCCTGCGTGCGAAGTTTTATGTTCCGATACCGGGGTGTTTCCCCTTTTGGTCGCCCGCCCGGTCCCGCCCCCGGACGCTTTGAACCCACGTCCAGCTGAGCGCAGCGGGGGCTGATGTTTCCCTCTTGGCTGCCTGCCCGGGCACCGAACCCACACGTAATCATCACCGTATTTTGTTTATTTTTTATTAGCCCAGTGTGGACACATCAGCACAGGAAGCTGAAGAAAATGCACAGCAGTGTTCAGCGGCGGCGGGGTCTCGGTGTCCTCGCCTGGACCCGCGACACCCGCCTTCCATCTCCCTGCGCTGCGGAGTGACCCGCTCCCTGTCCGGTGCGCAGCCCCAGGCCGGGTCCCATCCCCGCGGCCGCTCCCCAAATCCCCAGTGGACTTGGTTATAGCCCGGGTAGGTTGGTTGGTTCGTTTCTTCGTGACAGTCTCGCTCTGCCGCCAGGGCTGGAGTGCATCGGCGCAATCTCCATTCACTGTAACCTCAGCCTTCTAATTCAAGGGATTCTCTTACTTCAGCCTCCTGAGTAGCTGGGACCACAGGTGCGCGCCACCAAGCCAGGCCAATTGTGTATTTTAGTGGAGACCGAATTTCATTATGTTCCCCAAGCTGATTTCGGACTTCTGGGCTCAAGCGAGGAGCCCCTCTCAGCCCCCCAAAGTTCTGAGATGACGGGGGTGAGCCACCCTGCCTGGCCTGGGGCTAGATTTAATTTATTTATTTTTTACATGCACAGCATTTTAATTAAATATACTCTGTGAGAAAAAGAACACTCTAAAGTGCCAGATTTCTTGTAAATCTGATAACTTAGTAAATACAATGGTGAAAAAAAATCAGAGGAAACATAATTTAAATAATCTTATAAAAGAGCAAGAACATATTTTAATCTTCATATAAGAAAGCAATCATCAAAATATAAAAGGGAGAAAAATCTCATTTATAGAAGAATATATTTCAAAATTCCACCTGTTGATCATTTCATTTAAAAATTCTAAACACATGGGCAGCCTGACTCTTACCAACATATGTGTTTAAATCAATGGTAGTAGGGGACTTAGACTCATTCACACTGACATAAGGTGACATTTTTGCTGCACAACAGTATTGCTCACTGGCACTAACAGTGGAAGCTGGAGGGAGTAGATTTCTGGATTCGATTATTAGTAGCAGAAATGGACTAATGCTAAAAATTTAGAAAAAAAAATAGGTCCAAGCTCTAGCTACTTCCAAGTAACACAAACATTATCCAAACATTGCCAATTTGTAATGGGCTGTGAAAAAAAATGTGAAAATACTCTACATTGAATATTAGTTTTATGTTGCTTTCGATTAAAGATATTCAGTGGGCAACTATCTTGCATGTTCTTCACATGTACCCCAAAACCTAAAGTGCAATAAAAAAATAAGGAGAATAAGATTCAGAGGTTAGGTAGCTGGGTGGCAGGCCCCAAATGCACAGTAAAGCTGGGTCAGCTAGGATCCTTTGAACACCAAACAATCAGACTGAAGCTTCTGACCTAATACAGCTGGCACTGCCCACTGTGCCATGGATTCACCTCAGGCGTCAATGGCATGCTCCTTTATGAACTTGCTCTTGCTACAACTGGTGTGACCATCAGAGTCGGTTCTCTACAGGATTTGCTGTTTTGCAGTACAAGTCCTCAATTCAATATCTGTGGTAGTCATAAGCAGAGCCTAGGCCTCTTTCACTGCAAGAAACATCAGAAAAAAAGTGCCTAATATATTGAGCTCTATCACCAAAACTTGTAAATAGGGAACTCTTGAGAAATAAAAAAGACAGTTCTCACATTAACAGCCTAAAAGCAATGACTAATGTCCCCAAGAAATAGACAAGTAGCTGTCTTTAATTATTTTTGTTTCCCAAAAATCTCTCTACTGAGATTTTGTTTTAGTCCACTGCATTATTTTGACATGTTGGTGATTTTCAATTTAGTTTCTGGTGCATATGTTAAAATGCAGACCATTCTTTATTTTTGATCATGCCACATGCATGAAAATTTCCATTATGTGTTACTATTACATAGGGTAAAGACTTGGAAAAGTTCCTGCATATTCTTTTTGTTGTTGTTGTTTTGTTTCTTTTCCTGAATATTCTTGACAGAAAACAATATGAAGTAGGGTAGGTAGGGAGGAAACAATGCAGATTTTCTCTTAAATCCTAGGAGATTTAGTTAGGTCTGTTTATTCTCAATACAAGAGGTCAAGTTCAGACGAATGGGAGAATCATATGTCACAGCTAGTGAAAGATGGGCATCATGAGAATACATGAGGCTGGTCAGAATAATAAGTTTGGTAATATAAAAATTCTGGAAATCTCATTTGTTGACATTAGAGAACAGGGGTCTGCAAACTTTCTATAAAGAGCCTGATAATAAATATTTCAGGTCTTGTGGGCCTCTGTTACAATTATTCAAGTCTGGTGTTGTAGCCCTAAAGCAGCCGTAGATGATATACAAATTAATGATTGTGGCTGTGTGCCAGTAATATTTATTTACAGAATAATTTCCCCAAGGTTTGTATTTTGCCAACCTCTGTCACAGAAACTTAATAGTAACAATACAGATACTTAATACTGAAGAAGAAATGGAAAAAAATGCAACAGAGGCAGAAAAGTGTTTAATCTGCCTCTTTCTCTTTGTAAACAGTTAGGTCCAGGAATCTGAAGAGAGTCACAAATGCTCAAATCTGAATAACCTTAAGTGATCCTTTGTCTATACATGTTCTTTATTTCTTGACACTACTGTGCATTTTTCTTTGGCAGCAATCTCAATGGTAGTTCAGTACATTGGAGCTTGACTGTCTAGGTTCAAAGACTGGCTCTGTCAATTACTAACAAAATGACTTTGAGCAGGAGACAAAACCTAGAGAAAAAAAGTAGCAGAAACCACAGGAGTGACAGAGGTGTGGCACGCAGTGGGTACTTGACGAAGATGACTTAAGATTTAGGTAAAGACTGAACATCTACCACTCCTACTTGTCATGACAGTGGAGCATCTACCTTGTAAGAATGACAGTATAATGAGAAAAACAACACACAAATGTATTAAAGAATACTTTGAAGAAACTCACCTTTTACTTAATATCACCACAGAGGAAATTCTGGGGAGTTTAGAATTTAGAAAGATTTTGTACCATGGAGATAGATGGTCATGAGCAATAGTAATTAAGTTGTTTAGAATGAATAAAAAATGTTCAGAATCTCCTATGTACAGTATAGTCACTTTCTCAGTGACATTGGACAATGACTTTTATCCAGGAATGCAATAAATTGAGGGGTTACAAAAAAAAAAGATATTCAGTGGGCATATTCTAAATTATATAGGGCATCTATAAAGACCTAAATTAGCAAGTTAACAGGATAGTGTCAACATATCTTGGGATGTTCTAGCCAATGTTTGTCTACTGTTTGGAAGGAGTCAAATAGCTATGTACACATTCAAAGCGAATACTTATAAAAAGACATCTTAATGTATCAGATATCCATAAACTGAAAAGTGTTACACGTGTTGTGGGGGAAAAATACTGATGGTTGGCTGAATGACCAATTAATTATACATACCACTTATGAAAAGCTGGGTGATTCAGGTGCAAAAAAAGAAAAAAAGTATATGCACACATATATCTCTAGTAACATCCTACCAACATATACATGTTACATGTCATAGTTAAAGCTATCTTACCAAACTAGGATATGTAAGGTATCACTGCAGCTAAAATTAAGTTTTAAGTAAAAAGTTGTGGCTACTTAACAAGAGAGTGAACTTTGGGGTTTATTCAAGAATTAGTTCTCATGTATAAAGAAGTTTGATATTAATAAACAATACTTGTCACCATAAGGTTTTAGACAGTATAGAAACTTACAGAAAAGTGTTTTTGGACCATTTTAAAGAGTTGGAGGAAGCAAATAAAACTGGATTATGAGGATGAATGCATTTATGATCAAAATCAACACACACAAAAATCAAAACACATTTCACAGCAGAACCTGCAAAAACTTTTGTATTCATCTTTTGTGAACTACACAAAGAATGAATTAGTCTTGTCTTAATAAGACTTTTAAGCAACAAAATAATTTAATCATGAAACATCAGCTTGATTGTGAATATACTCTATTATCTGTATCAGCTGGTAAATTAACTGTGTTATCCAAAAAGGCCGACCAGCTCTAACTAATATGAACAGGATATTGAATTCATTAATGAATATGTAACTATTTTGAGCATACAAATAATCTCTGGTTTTATACCCACTACATTTTAGAATTCTGTAAACTGTAAGGCATAGAATATGTTTAATGTGGCAGAAAATCATATGAAATGATTATTTTATTCTGTTCAGTTCTTTTCCCATTAAGCATGCAAACACCCTCATAACCGTCTTTGGCTTCACTTCTACGAGGTCATCAGGTAATGCATATAATCAGGCACCGATCTTTCGAGTAACTGAAATGGCATATTTAGCAATGTTCAGCTTGTCCTCATCAGATAAGTTTTCTCTCTTCATCATTTCTTGACGAACTGCATTTGGTGCAATGGCATCTATTAAGTCTAGGACAGGTAAACCTGTGCTTATAGATTTATCCTTGAAGCTGGAAATAGAAGTATTTTTGTTTTCACTTTTAAGAGTCTGATTGACCCATTCAATAATAATTTCATCATTTACTTTTTCACCCTCTCTGAGATCCGATACACATTCAATGTGTACCTTCTCATCAGCTGCCATACCAAGGCCAGAGTAAGTGCTGAGTTCCCTTCATTTAGGTTCGGCCCAGCAATGCCAACCACGGAGAATTTGGCCTTGTTCTTGCCAAGTTCCACTGCATAGTTACAGTTTTCAGTCTTCTTCATGTTCCCTCCAAGGGCAGGATAAGGAGGTTATTGACATGGCTCCAGTTGACTGGCACTCATATCATCTCATAGAGCTGAAAGATCACTAAAGCATATACAAGGTCACTGTACAAATGATTAA